CCTTAGAGAGTTATGAAACTACTGCCATGGTAATGAATACAATGAAATACCACTCCTTTCTTCTCAGTTTAAAAGAATATTCAAGCCCAACTTTTCTCAACATACTTCATTTGTAAACTAGTGTTGGATCAGTGCATTTTCCTCTTATGAGTCACTAATCTCTTTAAAAATTTACTGAAATTTTGTCAATGCTGTCCTCCAAAAATGTACACACGGTTGTGCGTGTCATTTCAGGAAATTTAAAGCCTCTAAAACCTATTCATAAACCCCACAGATTAAGAACACCTGGGTTAGACTCCAAGGTCTTTCTTAGCTCTACCATTAGTTCCACTCAGTAATAAAATAAAAATAAAAATAAAACCACTTAAGAGTTATGCCTGTGTGGCTCAGACTCTGGTTTTCATTCTGGAACCAACTAATGTATATTCTAAAGTATTCCTATTAGAGCTTTCAAACCATAACATTCCTCTCCTCTGAAATGTGACAAATACTAGAGCAGATGTTCAGTGTGACTAAACCAAAACCAAACCCAATGCCATCCAGTCAATTCCAACTCACAATGACCTCCATTAGGTTTCTGAGCTCTGGTAGCATAGTGCCTAAGACACTTGACTGCTAACCAGAAGGCTGGCGGTTCAAACCCACATCCACTCCTCGGAAGGAAGGTTGGGCAATCTACTTCTGTAGTGATACTGCCTCGGCAACCCAAGGAGGGGTTGCTATGAGTCAGATCTGACTCAACAGCACATAACAACAAATCTTTATGGAAGCAGATTGCCTCATCTTTCTTCTGCAGAGCAGCTGGTGGGTTTGAACCAGCAACTTTCTGGTTAGCAGCCAATGCCTTACCCATTATGCCATCATTTAGTCACACTTACCAACGTATGTAAGTCTACTTCTAGACTAGTGAAGACGCTGATTATGGTAATTACCCCTGTATAACCAAAAAAACCAAACTCACTGCCAGCAAGTCGTTTCCAATTCATAGTGACCTCCACTGAGTTTCCGAGGCCATAAATCTTTACAGAAGTAGATCGCCCAGTCTTCCTTCCACAAAGCAGGTGGTGGGTTTGAACCGCTGACCTTCCGGTTAACAGTGAAGTGCCACATCCACTATGCTATCAGAACTCGTCCATTACCCTGTATGTTGTTGTTACTGTTGTTATTACCCTGTATAGCACTAGGTTAAAATTAATTTCAAAAAGTATGTATATTAAACTCACTATACTTTCTAAATAGCAGTTCAGATTTCCATGGGAAAAAGAGGCAGAGAACAGGAGTATCCAACAGAATATATAAAGCACATGTTTTTAAACATCAATTTTATTCAAAAGCTCATTTTCTATTTTGATGTTAGAATACTATTTTGCATTAAAACGAACAGATGTGTCATGCAGTAAAATGCAATGATCACATTTTTTTAAGATAAAGTGAGACAAAAAAAATTTATACTTCCTCCATTTTTGGCCCATGGGCTGAAGGACTCTCAACCAGGAATTCACGATGCTCTGACTTTAGTGGTACTTTGGTGGAAATAATAAAGAAGCAGTACATTTAAAAAAAAAAAAAACTTAAATACTGAGATAATTTGTGACTTTTTGCAACATTATGCAGAGAACTACATGAACAAAGTGAGGGAATTATTAAATTTCTCAAGAGATTGAGAATTAGTTTGACTACAGCATTTCAGGTTCTGAGGACTGAGTGTTATGAAGCTGCCAAAGTTGATAAAAGTCATGCCTTCCTTCAGTTGCAATGACAACCAACCAAAGCATCCAAAGTAGTTATTTTGACAAAGACCAAAATCAGTATCAATTAAAACTCCACGCACTTACAATTCATAACCAAAAGTACCAAGGAACAAACAAAAGTTATTGGCAGCAAAGGGTCTAAAGTGCTAAAATTATTGTATTACATTTCAAATATGAAGAGTTTACATCCAACTATAAATCTAACTCCTGCTTTTCAAATCAACATACAATGGCATTTATAAAACTAATTATTAGTCCCTGGGTAGGGCAAATGGTTTGCACTGGACTAATAACTGAAAGAGAGCTCTGGTAGCATAGTGCGTAAGGCACTTGACTGTTAACCAGAAGGCTGGCGGTTCAAACCCACCAGCCACTCCTCGGAAGGAAGGTTGGGCAATCCTACTTCCGTAGTGATACTGCCTGGGAAACCCAAGGAGGGGTCGCTATGAGTCAGGGCTGACTTGACGGCACATAACAACATCAACAACAACAATAACTGAAAGGGAGCTCTGGTAGCATAGTGCCTAAGGCACTTGACTGTTAACCAGAAGGCTGGTGGTTCAAACCCACCAGCCACTCCTGGGAAGGAAGATGGTACAATCTACTTCCGTAGTGATACTGCCTCGGAAACCCAAGGAGGGGTCACTATGAGTCGGGGCCGACTCGACGGCACACAACAATAACTGAAAAATTGGCAATTCAAATCCACACAGAAGCACCTCAGAAGGCCCAGAACTCTACTTTTGAAAAATCAGCCACTGGAAACCCTATGGAGCACAATTCAACTCTACAAACATGGAGTTACCTTGAGTCCAGGGCAACTAACAATTACATCAGCTAAGATTTACTCTAGGAAGTGTGTTTTAAGAACTGGTGAACCTGAGATAAATATTTCCTTCTGGAAAGCTCCAGTGTGAGCGTCCCCTTCTTTAATCCTTTCCAGACCCATGGAACATGTCGGACATGTATCACTCACCACATTTTCAACTTCTCAAGGTTTCTCGAGAAGCTACTATCCGTTATAGTATGTGCTCCCCTGGGAAACAGGATTGTGGCACTGAGTAACAGCGTGAATCTGAAGCAACAGGCCTTGCCCCACCAACCCTATCACCAGAATCTGTCTGGGTCATTGTTGTTACGTCCCGTCGCGTCCAACCCGACTCATAGCGACCCCTCCTTGGGCTTCTGAGGCAGTATCACTACAGAAGGAGATTGCCCCATCTTCCTTTGGAGGAGTGGCTGGTGTGTTTCAACCCCCAGCCTTCTGGTTAGCAGTCAAGTGCCTTAGGCACTAAGCTACCAGAGCTCCTGTTTGGGTCATGTTGTTGTTGTTGTTGTTATGTGCTGTTGAGTCAGACGCGACTCATAGCGACCCCTCCTTGGGTGTCCAAGGCAGTATCACTACAGAAGTAGATGGCCCCATCTTCCTTTCGAGGAGTGGCTGGTGGGTTTGAACCGCTAGCCTTCTGGTTAGCAGTCAAGTGCCTTTAGGCACTACGCTACCAGTGTTAGAGATATGCCACGCCATCTTGCATGGCTCTTCCAGGTTCTTCTTCATTCCCTGCTGCCCCGCCCAAGGTCATAAATCAGTTAAAGGAAGTTGAAACTGAGCTTCCTGCAAGGCGCAAATTTTAAAAGGCAACAATAGCCTCTGATAGGTTAAGACCTCTTCCCCCAGCTCTGATGTACAATCTCCTAACCCCAGGTCTATATAAGACCACCCTCTTCCTGCTCTTCCTCTTCTTCCTCTCTCTCTTCTTCTATTCTTCCTCTTTCTTTCTTCTTCTCTTCTTCCTCCTCTTCTTCTTCTGTCCTTCCTCAGTGCAGGCACCCTTTCGCCTCCTTAATAAAAGGGTACTCTGGTGTGTGGCATGGTTGTTGAGTGCCGAGGGAGCTCTAACAACCAGAGCTCCTTTTTTTGGGTCATATGATACATATTGTATCAAAATCTGTATTACCTCAAAAATTTTCCCCCTTACTTTCAGCATGCTTTCCATTACCGAAAACAAATGGAATGAACAAAAAAAATCAAAGCAGAAAATAATTGGGTCGTGAAAGCGTTCAGTCTATTCTTTAACCTTTCACTTGACGAATCCTCCTCCCTCCCTAATGGTCCTAAACCTAATATGTGAGACACAAGACCCCAATGAAGGATTAATAAAATCAAATCTTACAATGAACATCTCAGCAAAAAGGAATGTATACTCCTGAAAATAACTAACTACCCAACCCTATAATGATTAATATTTGATTCTTAACTTTTAAGTTCCAGTCTGGTACTCCTGAAAATAAGCTAATCAACAAACCCCCCTAACGATTAATGTCTTGTTTTTATCAAACTCTATTTCTGAACAGAAACTACAGGGAAGAAACAATAAGGGCAGTATGACCCACACGGAAAGAACGAGCCGACCTCGGGACCAGAAACAATGACGTTTACAACTATCAATCAAAGAAACAAGAACTCTGAATACAGGAATACAAGAGCCCTGACTTAAGACAATCAGAGCTGCTGCTCCTTCTTAGTTACTGAGAGCCAGGCTTTATGCTTCTATGATTTTACTCTTTAAATAAATTTTTCTTTCCTTTTCCGCTGGCCTGGTTCCTACCAACACCGGTCACGTAACCTTACACCCAACTGGAAGGAAAAGTGTGCAAGCTAGGACTATGTGGCCCGCCCAGGCCAGGAGAAGACGAACGGACTTCTAGCGCTCCAACGCCACCCTGCTCTGAAAACTGAGAAACCTGAATCCTAAACTTCCTTGTGCTGCTAGGAGACAATATGTGAGAGAGGGGATCGTCCTCTTGCTTCCTGTACAAGAAGGAAACCTAATCTCCATTATCACAGCCCACAAACGAGAAGGCACCACATCTACCCACAGCCGACTCCTCGGGCAAGACCGGAAGGTGGTGCTGCTACTTCCTTAAGACGTCAGAGAAATAAGGGACCCACGCAGGGAATGTCCCGCCCATGGTTCTCTCAGACGACCCGACCTGACAGCTTCCTAGAATATGCCTAGTTACCCCAAGTTTTTTTATTTTTACAGTAATAACCATATCCTCATGTGTCGTTGTCTCTTCTTCGCTTGGAAAATCCTCTCATCTCTGAGCCCTGAAACTTTCCAAGGATGCAGGCGCCTAAATGGAAGGCCCACGACCGTGACGTATAATTTGAGCGCCGACGGAGGAAAGACCCTGTTCGTCTTGCGCTGGGTACCGTCTGCCCTTCGACGTTGAGCCGGATTCCTTGATGAGACACGTGCGTTGTTGAATGGAGCTTGTCGCTGGTTGCTACGAGCAGGTCCTTTTTGGGTTCGTTGTGCACAGGGAGCCCGAGGCGAGCGGCAACCTCAAGGTGAGAGCTAGCGTGCGGATGGGCAGGGGCGGAGGCGGAGGAATGGGCAGCTTGGTTCCCACACGGCGGAGGTAAACATTTGGGCATCTCATGTTCATCATTTGATGTCTATAGATTAATTGGTGAATCATGCTAAGGAGAGTTTAAGTGAAAAGCTTGCCTTTTAAAATTTGAAGTAAGAATTTCCTAAAAGTGATAAACATCTGTTGGTATTATAGTAGACAAAATGCCCATAGTACAGGAAGGAAGATCGCATTGCTGCACATGGGCAGATAAGTTGTAGATTATGGGCTTACGGGTTTCTTCCATAAGTTGTCAGCTGGTTTATATATTTAGAATTTAATGAAAGAACAATTCCCTTATTCATTTGAGTTTTTGTTCTGAAATTTTACCAAGTATTAGAGCTAGGTCAATATAATCTTATATATCATTAAAGTCACATCAATTCATTTCATTATTTATTAAGGACTTAACGTGGGCTAGGCAGTGGAGATGCAAAGATGGAAATGATGTGAATACTGAAAATATCCCCTTCATAACAGTAAAGGATGGGGATACAAAGATAATTCTTTTACTGGTTACATGAATAAAAAATATTAAATAAATTGCCAGTAGTCAAACAGATAGGACATGCCCAGAACTAGAAATTAAACCCAGAACTAGAAATCAAATCTCCTGACTTCTAGCCCTGTACTATTCTTTTTTTCTTTAGGTAAACCTAAGTATCTACTAGCAATTAGCATCTACAAAAGCAATTAGTCAAGGCATACATTTCCAGTTTTCTGGTTAATTTAAGGTTGACATTGAGCATAGGGGACATCAAGCTCAATTGGTATAACATACTACACAAAACATTGTTACACCCCCTACTTGGCAAGTAGCATCTGGGATGTTAAAATGGCAAGCAGCCATCTAGATCCAACGATGGGTTTCTCCTCGTCCAGAGCAAAGAGAAATGAAGAAAACCAAAGATTCATGGAAACTATTAGTCCTAGCGACTGGTACACCATGCGATCCGCAGCCTATACAACTGTGAGACCAGAACTAGATGGTGCCCGGCTATCACTGTCAACCACTTGGAGGGTGGTCTACATAGGAGATCCTGGATAGAGAGGGAGAACAATGTGGAACAAAACTCAAAATCATTTGGGAAAAAGAAAAGGGATGGGGGGACCAGGTTTGCTAGTCTGATACAGCCTGGTGGAACCACTGAGACTATGGCCCCTAGCTGCCCTTCAGGTCTGGAATTGAACCCACTCCTGTGGCTTCCAGCCAAACAAAAGACAGGCATATGAGTTGAACATTTACCTGAGGTCGATACACTCCTTAGAGAGAACAATCATAGGAGAAAGAAGGGCTGCTTATGCACAGGGAGACAGCTCAGGGGGCAGGAGTGCATGGAGGGATGGACACAGGGAAGAGATAACTATCGAGAGGAAGTGGGAGGGGAGCTGTTGCAGTGTGGTGAATTGTGGTCAATGTCATGAGACAAATTGTATGTGAACTGCTGTATAGAAAGTGAATTTGCTCTGTAAATTTTCACCCAAATCACAATTAAAAAAAAAAAAAAAAGATTGCCATTGAGTACTTCTTTATGAAGGAGCTCTGGTAGCGTAGTGGCTAAGGCACTTGACTGCTAACCAGAAAGCTGTCAGTTCAAACCCAAGGAGGGGTTGCTATGAGTTGGGTCTGACTCGATGGCATATAATAACAACAACAACTTCTTTGTGAAGTCAAGGTGTCAATCTTGAACTAACCATAGAACTGGAAGTGTGTAACTTAACTAATTGCTTTTGTTTATTTTGTTTTCCAGTCTAGTATAAATCTGTTTTTGGCTTTTGGCCCAAAGGTGACATGTTTGAATATTCAAAGATGATGATATTAATTGTGTTCTCTTTGTAATGAAAGCAGTTGCTTACTAAGTTGCAGACATAATAATAGTCCTCACGGGAACCCTCTGAGGCAAATCCATTGTTCCTGTTTTACAGATGAGGAACCTGAAGTTTAGACATGATCTGCTCAAAGCCAGGCAGCTGATAATTGGCAGAGCTGGGACTCAAGTCCCCAGGTGTCTCTATCTCTAAAAGCTCTTAGCCATTACCCAGTGTTTTGTGTCTCAGTTGAATCCAACTCATAGGAACCATATAGGACAGAATAGAACTGCTACACAGAGTTTCCAAGACTGTAAACCTTTACGGAAGCAGACAGCCTCATCTTTCTTCCACGGAGCAGCTGGTAGATATGAACCACTGACCGTTTGGTTAGTAGCCAAGTACTTGACCACTGTACCACCAAAGCTCCTTCCAAGTACAGTCAGACCAAACTTACTGCCATCAAGTCAACTCAGCTCATAGCTACTTCTCCTTGGGTTTCCGAGGCAATATCTCTATGGAAGTAGATTGCCTAATCTTCCTTCCAAGGAGTGGCTGGGGGGTTTGAACCACCAGCCTTCTGGTTAGCAGTCATGTGCCTTAGGCACTACCCCATCAGAGCTCCCTCCAAGTACAAAGTAAAACCAAAAAACCAAACCCATTGCCATCAGGTCATTTCTGACTCATAGCAAACTTGTTAGGTGCTGTCATGTCGGCTCTGACTCAGCAACCCTATGTACAACCAAACAAAACACTGCCCAATCCTGCCTCACAATCCTTGCTATGCCTGAGCCCCATCATTGATGGCCTTCCCTTTTTTCACTGACCCTCCCCATTACCAAGCATGATATCTTTCTCCAGGGAATAGTCCCTTCTGACAACATGACCAGAGTAGGTAAGACAAAGTCTTGCCATTCCCACTTTCAAAGAGCATTCCAGCTGTACTTTTCCAGGACAAATTTGTTTATTCTAATGGCAGTATGTTTTATTTTTACTATTCATTGTCCAGCTTTCACACATATATGAGACTACTGAAAATACCATGGCTTGGGTTAGGCACACCTTAGCCTTCAAAGAGACATTTTTGCTCTTCAGCACTTTAAAGAAGTCTGTTGCAGCAGATTTGCCCAGTGCAATACGTTGTCTGATTTCTTGACTGCTGCTTCCGTTGGTGTTGATTATATAACAAACTTAAACCAAAAAAACCAAAATCATTGCCATTGAGTCAATTCCGACTCATAGCAACCACCTTTGGGTTTCCAAGGCAGTAAGTCTTTACAGGAGTAGATTGCCCAGTCTTCTTTCCATGGAGTGGCTGGTGGTTTGAACTGCCAACCTTCTGGTTAACAGTCAAATGCCTTAGGCACTACGCCACCAGAGCTTCTTGTAGCAAACTTAGGCCTTCAGTACTTGAATGAATAAATTCAAGGCACAATTTGAATATTTGAATAAATGAGTGATAGGGAAGTCTCGTATGTAAGTAAATAGATAACTATTTAAAAGATTTGGATGGGACCTTAAAGTCCCTTTAGTCCAGTCTCCATGACTGTGTCCTGGAGTCATGATACCTGGTGCTGCCATCTCATTTTCACTAAACATCCTTATTCTCAGGCGATTTTTTTTTTAATTGATGTATTATTAAGTAGCTTCTTATATATGGGTAGCTTTCACAGATTGTGGAACCATTTATCTGTGCTTCTAGAGCGCTGTGATTTGACTGTGACATTGACTGTAGGTTTTACTCTTCAGCAGAAATGGACTCCTGTGGCTGACTTCACTCACCATGCCCATACTGCTTCCTTGTCTGCGGTGGCTGTAAATAGTCGTTTCGTTGTCACTGGGAGCAAAGATGAAACAATACACATTTATGACATGAAAAAGAAGATAGAGCATGGGGCTCTAATACATCACAACGGTAAGACAGTTGAATTGTTTAAAGCAATATAGAGAAGTTATACTTCACATTTTGTCTTCAATTAAACAATTATTAAGTGACTGTTATATAGCAGATTCTGTGCTAGGGAATATAGAAATGAAAAAACATGGTTCCTTGCTCTCAAGTTCACAGTCTGCATTGGGAGATGCAAGGAAGCTCTTAACTTAGTCAGGAGGTGGGGGCTCACCAAAAGATTCCTTAAAATGATGTCTAAATTGAATCTCAGAGAGAATTACCAGTTTTTGGCCAGATGAAGTTTGCAAAACAGGCAGAGGGCATTCTGGGCAGAGCAGGCAGTATGAGGAGTGCAAGTAGCAGCATCATGGCATTGGCTAATAACTTTATTGAGGGAGAGTCATGTACCTAAGAAGCCCTGATGGTGCAGTGGTTAAGTGCTTGGCTGCTAACTAAAAGGTTGGAGGTTCAAACCCACTAGCTGCTCCATGGAAAAAAGATGTGGAAGTTTGCTCCTGTAAAAATTACAACTTAGAAAGTCAATGAGGCAGTTCTACTCTGTCCTATAAAGTTGCAGTAGGTTTGGTTATGTACCCAGCACTGTGTCAAAAAAGTACAATCTACAAAGTAGATTGCCCAGTCTTCCTTCCATGGAGTGGCTGGTAGGTTTGAATGGCTATCCTTCTGGTTAACAGTCAAATGTCTTAGGCACTATGCCACTGGAGCTCCTACTTCATTAAGATTTACTGCCTCAGAAACCCAATAGGGGTCAATATGAGTCAGAATCCACTTAATGGCAGTGAGTTTAGATTGGTTTTTGGTTAATCTGTAACCTCAAAACAAACATATCACTGGAGTCATCTTAAAACTGAATAGTTTAGCTTAACTAGCAAATAAGGTCTGCCTTGAGCATTATGCTTTTTTAAAAGGTTAAAGATTATGTCGGGGCAATTATTTCAGGGGTTCATCCACCCTCTTTGGCTCCAGAAAGTCTAAAGTCCATGAAAATTTAAAGTTCTGTTCTGCATTTTCCCCTTTTGATCAGGATTCTTCTCTGGAATCTTTGATCACAGTGTTCAGTAATGGTAGCCGGGCAAAGGAAGCAGTTGTTCATGGAGGCAATTGCGACACAGTTTATTTTCTACTCTTATTCCTGACTCTCCTTCCTCTGTTTTTCCAAGTGAATAGAATCCAGTTAGTTGTGTGAGTAACATTTTATAAAAATTGTCTAATAAATTATGACAGTAAGGAGAAGTATGTAAAAGTCAAATCAGTTATTATCTGGAATTACTATCTGGAGTGAGGATTGTGGGTGGTAATAGGGTAGTGAGCTCTCTCGTTAGAATGTAAAAGCCATGTGGCTCTATATCTACTTTTGTTCCCTATAGTAGCTGGTTAGTTTTGTTTGACTTCCTGATCAAACTTTGCTAGCCAGCCATCTCCTAAATATATGATCATGAGACATAAAGGAAGAAAGTGTGAACTGATTGATTCAAATGTATATCTGCGACTGGAGAAACTCCGAAGAAAATATTTGCTTAGGCTTGGGACTATATGCTTTTGTATGGGGGGAAAAAAACAGTTTCTTCAACTGAGACATCAAGGTACCTTTCAGTACTAAAACATTATGTCTTTTACTTACTGCACCATAACTTTCAAATCTGAAATTGAGTTTGCATTCAAGGTGAATATTAATTTCCTGTCTTGAATTTTCCACAGGCACAATAACTTGTCTGAAATTCCATGGCAACAGGCACTTAATCAGTGGAGCAGAAGATGGACTAATCTGTGTGTGGGATGCAAAGAAATGGGAGTGCCTAAAGTCCATTAAAGCTCACAAGTGAGTTCAGCTTGCCCCCAGTGGCCTGTTGATGTCCCAGTACAATTGGTAGCTAACTGTTGGTTTTATTTTAGAGGACATGTGACCTTCCTCTCTATTCACCCATCTGGCAAGTTGGCCCTGTCTGTGGGTACAGATAAGACATTAAGGTAAGTCATTATTCCCAAGAGCATTTTTGATAAGTTGCAGTCTTTATTCTCCAAGTAAAGCAAAAGCCATCTATCAGGGTATCTATTATTATAGTAATTTCTTTTTTTTTTTTTTAATTTGGGTAAAAGTTTAACTAGCAAATTGGTTTTCTTTTCAACAGTTAATACACATTTCGTTTTGTGACATTGATTGCAATCCCCACAGTGTAACAACATTCTTCCGACTTCTACCCTGTGTTTGCCACTCCCATTCATCCTTTCTTATCCCTTCTTGCCTTCTGGGCTTTATCCCTGAGCAAATGCTTCCCTTTTGGTCTCATATGGTTGATTGTGTAAGGGTTGTATACCTCCCTGGTGCTACTATTTACATTATAGGCTTGAGTATCATTTGGCTGAAAGTTGAACCATGAGGGTGAGTTCAGTGCCAGGCTTAAAGGGTATCTAAGGACCATAGTCTCATAGGTTCCACCATCTCTATCAGACCAAAAAGCCTGGTCTTACTCTTTTTTTTTTTAGTTTTATTCCACCTTTTTCTGCCACTCTATCCAGGACCTCCTTTTGTGTTCTCTTTCAGAGCAATCAGCAGTGTTAGCTGGGTACCACCTAGTTCTTCTGATCTCAGGGTCATGGAGACTGGGATTCACATGGTCCATTAGTCCTTTGCTCTAATTTATTACACTGCTTAGATAACTGTTTGTATTGTTTCTCTGCTGTTAACCATTTAAGGCTGTAGTGACGCACATGAGAGGTTGAAACTTATACATGATAGTAGGATACAAATGACATGCTGTACATTACACATGCACTCTATACTCCAGTCATTATATACTATAAAGTGAAGAGGAAATTGGTCCTAAAAAGAAATGTTTTAGGAGGTGATACCTTCTGAAAATACGATGGTGCAACATATTAAGGGGTGTAGAGATAGAAGGAACTTTATTCTTGCTAACTTACTAATGTCAAGTCAGATCCGACTCACAGCAACCCCTCCTTGGGTTTCTGAGGCACTATCACTACAGAAGTAGATCACCAAGTCGTTCTGCCAAGGAGTGGCTGGTGGGTTTGAACCGCCAGTCTTCTGGTTAGCAGTCAAATGCCTTAGGCACTATGCTACCAGAGCTCCCTTATTCTTGCTAGATGATAAATATTTCAGATATTACTATAAGAAAAAAGCAAGTTCTCTAAATAGTCATGTATTCTGTAGAACACTTTCTTCTTTTCTTTTGCCCAAATCTTTGTTATGTGTTACTATCCTCTTTACACTGTAAATTTCATTGATGATCATGCCATAAGTTAGCTTCCTATTTTTGCAGAACATGGAATCTTGTGGATGGAAGGTCAGCATTCATAAAAAATATAAAACAAAGTGAGTATTTTTGTTTTAAAATGTATTTTGTAATAATATGATGGAATGTGAAAGTATGCACACATAACCTTGTATGAATGTGTGTATACACATTTCTTCTTCTTCATAATGATGGGTGCCTCTGAGAACAAATGCTTTAGTTTCCTTTATTTTCCCATTTAGTTCTGATTTCCTTTTGTGACTCTGCCACCCGCTAGCCGCATGACCTTGGATATTATTTTTGAACTCAGTTTATTGCCTATATAATTTAACTCACAAAGTGTCTATCATAAGTTTGCTGTGAAGATTAAATAAAATAATGAATGTGAAGTGTAAATACATTTGTAAATGAAGTATGAGTATTCACTTTTTATTACTTCTGTTATCATTTTCGTTTTTACTTACGGGAGAAGAAATGCCTGCTTGCTTTTTTCTTTTCTTTTTTAAAACCTTATAGATGCTCACATAGTTGAATGGTCCCCAAAGGGAGAGAAGTACATAGTTGTCACAATGAATAAAATAGACATCTATCAACTAGACACTGCATCTGTTAGTGGTACCATCACAAATGAGAAGAGAATCTCTTCTGTTGCATTTCTTTCTGTAAGTAATCAGAAATTAGAAATAGAAGTTTAGTTTACACGGTGTTGGCCATAATTATTGATGACATTCTGGGTATTTTTTCCTCTACCCTAGGAATCTGTCCTTGCAGTGGCAGGAGATGAAGAAGTTGTAAGGCTTTTTGACTGTGATTCACTAATGTGCCTCTGTGAATTTAAAGCTCATAAAAACAGGTATTTTTACCAGTCTCTGTGTATGTGTAAGGAGCCTTGGTGGTGCAATGTATAAGCACTTGGCTGCTAACTGAAAGGTCTGTGCTTCAAACTCACCAAGATGTGGCAGTCTGCTTCTGTGAATATTACAGCCTTGGAAACCCTATGGCATGGTTCTATTCTGTCCTGTAGGCTTGCTGTAAATCAGAATCAACTCAGTGGCACATAACAACATGTGTGTGTAGACTTAATAAACATGAAGTGATTTTAAAAAGCAAGATACATATTTTTTGTGAATAACTACAGAGATAGATGCATCTACATATATGTGATTTCTAGAATCTTAGAAAAAGGTATGTTTTTGGCAGGTCCTTTGGGGTTTCTTTGAGGTAAAGTGTGAGGTGTAAGTACCTAAGAGTCCTCTTCCAGTGGAGCTACACAGGACATGCTAACTCGTCCAGCATTGATTTGTTACAGCACATGTGAAATGTTGTCTACCAAGGATGCTCACTACAGACCCAGCACCCAGGGTTTTATTGTGAACTGTTCACATACACATCCTATGCTTGGCTCGTACCAGAATTCCAGACTCCCAGAAGGAACTCAGTGTTCAGCATAAACCACACTGTTTTCACACTCAGTTGGGGTCACAGTGTTTTGGTTACTTAGTGTTGCTCTAACAGAAGATAGCACAAATGGATGGCTTGAACAAACAGGAGTTTATTTTCTTAAAGTTTTGGAGGCTAGAAGTCCGAGTTCAAAGTGCCAGGCTCTAGGGGCTGGGTGAAGGCCCCTCAACCTTGGGCTTCAGCTCTGCTTACTGCTCACAGCCCACTGAAGCTAGAGGCTTTTCTTCACTTACGCAGCTGCTGGCTGCTGAGGCTTACAAACCCAGGGTTGACAAGTGAAAAGGCACAGTCCCAATATTACCAAACAACATGGCAGGCCACTAAATTCAAGCCCAGAAAAACGCTCAAGATGGGCAGGGCATGGCAGGTTGCTGAACAACAACTTGGCTACATACAGGGTTCAAGAGTACCAAAAAGCTAGAGACTGTCCTCAAAGTTGCATCTTATACACTAGAAGCAGACCACATCGCTAAAGCAGCTGCTCCGCTGCTCAGTAGCTTGCACCATGGAGTTGATTACCAATTTCACCATGGGGAATAACTACATCCTGCTGCCCCGCCATCAAAAACCAGGCCCAGCCAACTTGGCACACAACTGAACTACCACACATAGTGAATCTCTTTTATCAATGATGGTGGTGGGAACTTTCCTCAGATCCAGGTTCCCAGTCGCCAGCCAAGGGCCAACCTTGTAAGCAGACCTTTCAGAGGACAGCAGTGCAGTCAGGCCTACTCTGTTAACACTTTTTTGCACATCATCTTTCCCAACGTATTCTTAAGGTACAATTGACAATTTTTTCCTAGAATTCAGACCTGGATAAAATTTATCACCTGGTAAATCAGACACTGAGAACATTTCACCAATTATAATGGGAATGTGAAGCGCTTAGGTTTTTAAGCACCACTCATTGAGCATAATTTGCAAACAATTGAAGCATTGGAAAAACAAAAAGCTCTGTGCATGGAAATTTTATAACAGCATTGTCTGATTTATAGGAAAGGATCTTTATGTTAATATTTCTATTCTAGGGTGAAAGACATACTCAGTTTTGAAATTCCAGAGCATCATGTTATTGTTACAGCAGCAAGTGATGGGTTCCTCAAAATGTGGAAGCTTAACCAGGATAAGGTCAGTATTTTAGCACAATGTAAGTACGTTTTAGTGTAAGTCTCACTGTTAGTGTTACTTTGAGTTAAGTGAGGTGGAATGTTCTTTTACAGGTCATAAGACATACAAATCTTTTATTTTTTTTTCCTTCATCCAAATTAATATGTGTCTGTCCTCTAGTTAGTGGATAACCCTGCTAACCATCAAAAAATATTTCCTTTTTTGTGAAACCCTTTTCTTGACTTTTTGCAACAGTGGTCTCATAGGGCATTTATTCTTTTGTGATTGACCAGCTTTACCCAGCAAATGGCCTCAAAGCTCATCCATGTTATCAGGTGTTTCACATATTCATCATTGTTCTTTAACACTTCATAGTATTCCATTGTGTGTATGTACCATAGTTTGTTGATCCACTCCTCCTTTGATGGGCATTTAGGTGGTTTCCATCTTTTTGCTATAGTGGATAGTGCTGCGATGAATACAAGTGTTCATACACAGGGATTGCTGGATCATATGATATTTCTGTTTCCAGCTTTTTAAGGAAGCGCCATACTGTTTTCCACAAGGGTTGCACCATTTTACAATCCTACCAGCAGTATATGAGGATTCCAGTCTCTCCACACCCTCACCAGCATTTGTTTTTTTCTGTTTTTTTGAACTTTGCTATTAGTGGTAGGATGAGATGATAACACATAAATCTTTAAATAAGCTTTTCTGATCTAAGGTATGATTTATACTTGCTTTTACAATGATGGTTCCACAGAGATGCCTCAGGGGTTTACTTGTAAGTCTGAGCTGGCAGATTCCCAGACTTGCCTCTGCTCTTTCAATTAGTGAAGCTCTGCTTCCATCTCTTTTGCATACTGGGGTTCTGTGTAATGTTTTGATAGATAAAAATACTGCCATTAAGGGGAGTTCGGGTAAGATTGCGGACTAGGCAGAAAGACTGCACAGACCCTCTTCAACCACGAAAAGGGAAACCAATTAACACAGACACAGAAGATAATCCTGGACCCCTGAGCCTTGAATAGAAGGATACAGAGTGGACTGAACCCCAACTAGCAGAAGATTTGCATGAAAATACCAAAAAAGGAGATAGGCAGAGCTGCAATCTGGCAGCAATCCTGATGGCATGGCACAGCTTGGAGATTCCCCACTGGTGGTAGGACCTAAGAATTAACCTAAAAATCAGCCCTGCTAGCCTGGGACTGCATGGAGGACTGTTCTGGTGGCCGGGGAATAGAAGGCGAAGCACCAGCAAAGAGAAAGGTGGGCTGAGCTGTGGACTTTTGCCGGTCCAGAGGGTGCCGCCATTTTGAATGTCTAAAAGCAGCTTGACTATTTTGGATATTTAAAGAGACAGCGCTCTCGCAGATTCCTGGGGCTTAAGAACACATTCTGCTTTCCAGCAACCCCAAAGACACTCTGGACCTGCAAGACTGAAAAGGTACAACATTCCTCTTGTTACTCTTATACCCCACAACCGCTTGGTGAATGGAGTTGCGGCCATCCCCCACTCCCACCTACCTTCTGGGCCCACAGGAACTCCATCACAGTCTTTGTGCTCAGATGCAGCCTGGGTACCCTGCCCTCTCCTCCACCAATTTTATTTTTTCTCTTATTTTTATTTTTTTCTTTTTCGCTTTTTTTTTTCTGGTGATTAGTTTGCTTGTATTTGTCTGTTTTAAAACAACTATTATTATTAATACTTTTGTCCTTTTTACTATTATTCTTAATCATTCCCTCCCAGGTCCTAGTTTTCAGCATTTTTTCTTTTCCCTGT